TCTATGTCAGGACACATCAAGACTTCAATGACAATTCTCACCATTTACACCAGCCTCTGTGCAGTCAGAGTCCAATTCACCAGCTGTTCCCTGCTGCAGAAGGAGAAAACCAGGCTCACATAGCAGTTCAAGCTTGCTCCTTTGAAGTTGTAGAGCCACAGTCTCAGCTGGTGTATATTTCTGTAGTGCCCTGACTTTAATTTAAACCAGCTGATGAGCCACTCCCTCTTTCCCCACACTCCCCACCTTTCTAAAGGGTGGTCGAGTGCAGATGACATATTATGTGCAGCAGAATCTGTACCAGGAAAATCAAACAGGCAAATACAGAAAGTACAGCAAGTGCCCTTTGTGGATTGAACTGATAAGAGTAAACTATGGCACATAGTCAGGAATGACAAAGAGTGTTCAGTAAATTGCTTCAGTCCAAATGCATGGATAGAGTCCCTTACCTATAGCAGTGAAAATAAATTCTCCTGTTTCCAAAAATTTGCATCTTACTAAATAAAGCAAGAACATATCTAGGTTTTGATGGGTGCCATGGCAACAATGTTACTGGAGTGTAGCTTAGGAGTGTTTTTGGAGAGAGGGATCAGGATGAAACAAAAAGCTCACTGGTTATCTGTGGACACAAGGACTTTTACTGCAGACCCAAAGACAGATTCTCCTTCTTGTTCCTGGGTGCATATTTACAGTTGCCACCACACTCATACTTTCACTTTATACTGTGGTTGTCCAGAAATAATGAAAAAAGAGAAAAACCTGCTAGAGCTAGAAGGACAGATCATAAACGTAGTTCAGAGTCCTATTATATTTGCATCACTTAGAAGAGCAATGCAGAACTACTAAAACCACTATGGTTACTAGCAAAGAACAAACCCACAGGATTACCTATTCAGTAAAACCTATGCTTAAGTACCATAATTGCTTTAAAAGTATGCATGTAGAGAACAACAGATAACCATGGCTCTGCTTTTGTTCTCAAATAAATTTCAGCACATTTTGCCTAGGAGTTAATGCTCTGTCTTTTTTGAGATCTACAAAATACATGCAATTCTTTTTAAATTCAGATATTCTAGTGTCAGTGAAGAGGTATTGAAACTGGAACCTCATTCATGAAAGCTTATGTGCTCTGAGATTTGTGTGCAAAGAGAATAGCTTGACATTAACAAACGGCAGTATAAAATAATACCTACTGCAATGGCCAGGGGAAAAAAACCAACACATTAGAGGGAAGTCCTAGTATTTTCTTCACTTCAGTAATTGACCAGAGCCACATCTCTAGGTCTCTGAATACAAAGCATTGTGCAGCCTCTTGCCTATGCAGAAACAGTTGCAATACCCAAGAAACAGACTTTCATTCTCTAATTACAAGCTCCAGTTTACTTGGATTCTGATTTCTTAACAAAAATCAAACTTTTGCAATGTGCATTTCGTCCCTCTTTCCCAGTTATTTTTGAACATCTTGGCCAATTTGAGAGCAAGATGCAAGTTTTAAAGAGAGTTCCTGGATGTTTCTTGTGAATGAGTGGCTAGAACATTTCATACTCTGAGAAGGCTGGTGTTAGGGCTCAGAAGTATTTTTAGACTTAAGCAAATCCAAGCAGGAGAGAGCTACAGGTCATCCGGGTCTGCAAATCCAGCTACCTATGGAAACAATTTGTTTTTCCAAACACTGTTCTCATTCTGCATTACTTCATAAACTTTGTTTCATTTTTGCTCAGACAGTACTGGTTTATTTTCTGTTCATGCAAGAGCCTTCTTGACCCTTGCAGCCCACATCTTCTGCCTTCCTGTTTCTTGCTCTCATTTTAGACCTGTTCACACATCCTGCAATGCTTAACATCATCCTTGGGCCAGTGAAGTTTGTTATATTTGTAAATCCATCTCACAGTGCTTTCTTATTGTGTGATATGTGACAACAATTTGAGCTTGAGACCCTTTCGCATGTGGATATCTTTCAGATGACCTGGAGAATTCAGAGGATGAACTGTATATGCATTATTCTCAAGGAAAAATTTACCAGATAAGTCAGCTTTATCATGGCATTTTACTGTTTTATAAGATAAGATTTATTAATTTAAAAAATGTCTAACAGCAAGCAGCACGTAAAAAACAGGAATCATAAAAGGCAGCATCTGTTTCTTTGAGATTAGCAGGACAAACACTTAAGTCCAGTATTTCATAGCTCAGAATGAAGGAAAGATTGGTATAGATCTACTTTTCAGACTTCTTTGTGGCCCAGGAATAAAATATGCTGCCTTCATACAAGAATCTGGTCAAATATATGGTTGCTCTGTGCAGCTGAGTCCACTGTCTTTGAGTCATAACTACATAATTACTCTAAGCCCTGTACTTGCTTTCTCTTCTTTAACAAGCCTTCAATTCATTGAAAATCCTCCCCTCCCTCAGCAATTTAGTTTACTTAATAAATTACCTATTTTCACTTTACACGGGGTCGAGAACCTTGGGCTTGCTACATATTAGATACACCCTTGAAATACCTTCAGTGAGTCAAACACCACAGAAAATACCTGGATTCCATCCATTAATAAGATACTTCCATGGGCTGTATGACATAAAGCCATATTCAGCTTCCTGGTTCCTCACTCCTCAGTCAGAAAAAAATTCCAGCCACTGCACTTACAAAGTGTTCCAAATATGAAAAAAGGCTACAAACACATGTTCCTGAGTCTACAGGCAGACTGAAAATGGTAGATGAAGGTGCAGCTTGCATGTCCTGTTAGCTTCCCTGGCAGGTCAGCTAAAAACATCTGTTTAGTATCTGGTTCACTTTAAAAAAAGAGGGATTTTGCACGGAGCAGTCCATGCAGTGACAAAACCCACACTGACAGAAGCAAAATAATTATTGTTGAACTTCATTGTGAGTCAGGAAAGAGAGGACAATGGTACTCTAAATACATATTGTAACACACAAAACAAGGGATTAGATCTCCCTTACTACATCCGCTGGACACCTGAGAAACCTGGGTTTATTTCAGACATTGCAGCAGAGTAGCTTTTTGGCAGAAGTAAAGATTCAAGAAACCCACAGCTCTGAAGTCTCTCTGGCAGCAGCCATATACTGCTTGGAACTATGAATCGGTGTAGGTGACATAGGAATGACTTAAATTATTGAGGTAGCATAAAGCAAGATATTTTAATAAAAAAGGCGATCATTCTGGCAGATTACTACACTTCCCTACTGCTTGTCTAAGTTTCCACCTACTCATAAAGTTTTTTAAAAAAAGAAAGAAGAGATGGTGATCAGCTGATTTAATGTAACGTGCCCATTTTGTGCCCGCTGGTGGCCAATTCTGTCCAGGCTGCTGGGACCCAAGAGGACAGTATACTTGCCTGCCTGGTGTTTTGTCCCTGAAGAGATGGGAGCTACATACCTGCTACTGAGGACCTGACTGAAAAGGCTGGAGCAGAGGAAGCAGTTCCCCAGCCCAGGAAGAGCTGCAGCTGACACTGCACTAACTTGGTTTGCGAGGATCCAGCTTTGAACAGCACCACTTTCTCAAACACAACTCTGAGCACTACCTGACTCCCCAGGTCAGGACCATGAGGCATTCAGCCAGCTCAGAACATCAGAATGGCTCTGACCAGCCTGCTTCACAGATGAATTCGTACAGACAATGCTTTCTTAAAGTAGCAGATGCAAAAAGGGGGCATAACAAACTTCTCATCAAGTCAAGCAGATGAACTCTGCTCTGGTTGTTAAGTTTTATAATTGCATCAAATCTGTTTTTCTGCACGTGCTGCATTTCAGAGACTGAAATGCTGAACAGCTCTCACTGCTTTTCATGCCAGACTGCTGTGACAGTGCTTCTTTGGTTGCAGTTTCCTTCATAAATGTGCGCCATGTCCCATCTACGTGTTCTGCAAGAAGTCGGGCAGTGAACTTTTTTAAGCACATTGTTTCTTTCCACCGGATCTCATCACTGTAATACCTTTTTTATCTCATCATCGTAACACTGTAACCATGTGTCCACGCTACTTCAGAAAGACAAAGAACGAGTGCTTGTATCTTCTCAAGCGAAGCACGGGCACCACCGTTAGGTAGCACAGAGTCACTGCAGAAAGCATTGCTGTCTCCCTTCGTGCCCAGTGGGCTGGGTCTATGGTTTAGCAAAATCGTGACTGAAGATCAGATTACACCGCAGAAACAAGCAAGAGGTGTCGGCAAATGTCTGTATATTGAGCATCCCAATGCTCTTACTAAGTACTTCAGCAACTCCAGCACAACAAATGTATTTTACCAGTAAATGTTACCAAGAATGAAATGATGTACCTCTGCTCCTTCAGCTCAAAGGCCCAAAGCTGCTTTGAACTTCTAGGACAGTTTATAAACCAGGCCTGTGTTCTTGTAGTGAGAAGTTTTAAAATCTATTACAGTAGCAGTGAAGCAACAGGTTCAAAAGAAAAAGCATACAGCTAACAGAACTATCACCACCCTGAACTTCTGAAAACTGGGTGAGACTGATTTCTTCAGAAACTTTTCACATAACTCTGGATTTTTTAATATACCCCTTAGGCTGTTATTTACTGCTTTACCATCTATAGTTCTGCATAAAGAACACAGGGGATGTTGGGGGGAATCCTTCTAGTGTGTATTTGTAGGCAAGGTTCCAATGGCACTTGAAATAGTCACTTGCTTTCCCTGACCCACCTCAAAAGAATAAAGGAATTTGACTTGGGGCATGGCAGAGGGGAAGCAAAGTGAAGATAAAATCAGGCAGTTTCAACAGCAATGGATGTCAGGATGCTTTCTAGATTAATTAGGTGGTTCCTTCCACTAAAAAAAACCCACTGCCACTTCACAGAAGAAAACTCCCACTATCATCAGACATTGTTAACTTTACAAACTTTTCTCAATCTGTAATACTCTGGAGTAGGCAGTTGTGTATAAAACTGCTTATTGCTTCTGTTAAAACCTTGCATTAGTTATACAGGAATAAGAGAGATCAGGTGACCCAGAACTGTCGCTGTAGTTTATTTCAATTACTATCCTGCACAGTCACTTCAGAAAAAGGGAAAGCATTTTCTGAATAAATTTTTCCTTTCAAAAACTCAACTGCATCTTCATTTGTCATTTCCTGAAACTTCTTGTTCAGGACCTGGAAGTAAGGAAGAGGAAAGGGTACATTAGTTCTGTAGTCTTTAGCAAACTACCCTGTCCCACAAACCAAGTGCTCAGTAATGGGAAGGCCATAGGCAGTCACTGTATTTTGAAAACAAGTTGACTTGAATCATTCGTTTCATAAAAATCAGGGAAATAAGCCACATAGGTTTTTTAGGTACAAAGCAATTCAGTTCATACAAAAAAAAAAATCAAGCCACTATGATTATATTTATTTCATTGATAATGGTAAGTGGTAGCTTGTCTTTTAGAGTCCCTCTGTCCTTTCCCCCTAGTGACACCACCACTACCTTCTAAGTAAAGATGATATACAATTACCACTCTGGAAGAAGGCTCATCCTTCCCTACAAGGCCTCTTCTACCAAACATACCCATCACTGTGCTGATAACAGGAATGAAACAGATCGAATAACAGGACACTTCTTACCAGAATCACGTGATAACCCAGTTTATTTAGATGCCGCTTCTTCATTGCCAACTTCCCTTGGGGGTGCCTTGTACCCAGGCAGAAGGCAGACAGAGGAATAAAGAGAAAAGCCAATCTACAATCAAGAAGAACAGGGAAAACTCCGTTGTACAAATGCAGAATAAGAATTTTTAAGACAATGATTCAATTATGTCCTTTAACACTGCAGAATATATATAGCTGTCTTTCTGGTAGGTAGACATATCAGGACAGCACAAATTATCCTCTTCCTTTTCCAGACTTAAGTAATTTAGACCCTCTTCTTCCATGAGCTTCACACAAGTACCAGCATCTACCCAAATACTTACAGCAGAATTAAGTGCTTAGATCTCCACTTCTCCCACAAAGAGAAAAAAATAGATAACTCAAAATTCTACATTCGTTTGACAGCTTCTGCATTTACTTTGATCCTTTGTTAATATTCAGAATCAGTTACCTCCTGCCATAAACACGTACTTGGAAGGGTGAGGAAAGCTGAATGCCTTGAAGCCTGACAGTGAGTTTCTGTTACACAAATCACTAACTCTCCTTTTCCCAAAAAGCAAACTATACAAAATACATTGCTGTGCAGTGATCCAGCACACAAATGTTAAGTATTACCCACCTCTACCTAAGCATTACTTAAATGATGTATGTCCCACCTCAGTTACTGAGAGGTCATTCTTCTACACAAGATTAAATTAATCACCTAAAATGTGGATAAGATGGTCCTTTTTATTCAAATTATATTTCAGCAGCTGAAATAACTGCCATAACACAGCATTGAGATGCACATTTTAGAGAATAAGAGAATCATAGAATGTTTAACTGGACACACAAATACTTGGAATTTTAAAACCATAATGTAGCAATTTTTTGGAAGGGATTTCAGTCACATTTCGAAACCTGTATCCATTACAAGAGTATCAGATTACTGTGATGTTTCCTGCCTCTTTCTCTGAAACGCTGGTTTAACCTCTGTTAGAGGAAGGTAGTGAGCTGGATCAGCTGTTGCTCTGAACTGGCATGGCAATTTTTGTATATTTCAGTGAGCACAAATAACAAGTCAATTATCTACTCTGCTTCTGCAAATCAGTGAAACAAAGAAGTAACTGGATGGAATACATACACATAAAACTAGCCTGCTAGAAAAAATATGTAGTCAAAAAAGACACCTTTGAACACTTGAGTCAGCATTATCATCTGCCGCATCTATTGGGAGCACTTTCTTTCTGTCTGAATCCATTCTGATTTCAAAATCTGAAAACAAAACAACAAAACATTTAACACTGCAAGAGGTTACAATTAATGTTTGCAATTGAACATTGTTCAAATTATTTTCAAATTAACAGCTCATTTGAAAAAGACAACAGACACCTTCACTGCTCTAATTGCTGTTCTCTAGTAATTTACCTATTACTGATGGCTTTTCCCTCCCTACAACCAGTATAAACAGCTATAGCTTACATATCTCCAGAAAAAAAAATATTTTTGGAAACTGTAGATATAACTTTATGGGAGTGAAATAATAGTTAAAAAGAAACTCATCTTGATCACAGTCTGTAATACCTTCCTACTCAGATTTTCCTGTAATCTGATTCCTCATAGAAAGATTTAGGAAGAAAATTATTACAAATACTGAAAAACTAGTAAGTTTTTAAGTGGGTGGCTGGCAACAAAATAAGCAATATCAAAATATAAAATAAACCAAATGTTATTGATCACCTGTCAAAGAACGTCATATCCCATTTCATAAACAAAAGTAGAACCCAAACCTTAGGCAGACCTTCAGAGAAGAAACAAGTCAGAGAACAAAAGAAGGCTGCTGTTTGGCTTTGTTTCTAATGTGATTTAGTGCTAAGATGTCAACTCCCTAAAACAGTGGTCCATATTGAATTTATGTACAATTAACATCTGCTCGCTGATGATTAACAAAAAGTCCAAAGCACTTTTGTAAATGAGAGTAATCATAAAGTTTTAGTAAATTGACTTTAACACAAGCATCTTAGAAATTAGATTCACCAATCAAGGACATGATTTGTTAAAAGACTCTGTCTTCACAGTGCTACACTTGTGATCACTTGCACCCTACACAAATTTGTTACCACCTTATTATTTTGGGGGATTAGAAATCTATAGTCAAAAGATTATGACAGTAATTTGGCTTCATACCAATATGATAGTTATATGGCAGCTGAACATTTTGCCTAAACATGTTCTCATCTCCCAGAAGTTCTACAAGTGCCTCCCGAGCCTTTCTGAGATTCAGAGACACTAATAAGGAGAAATCCTCCGTAGGCACAAATGCAGGCTTCGTGAAGGAAGGGCTATCAAGTTCCATACATGCTTTCACATGGCAAAGCATCATTTCCTTTTGTTCTTTGTAAAGATCATCTGAAAAAGAATACAAAAAACATTACATCCACTGTATCATCTCACGGAATTTTTCATTTCATTATCATTTATAGTCTGTTCTGGCAGAGCAAATTAATTTCAATATAGCAATCAAAACCCAATTTTTATTTCACTCAATATTGAATATCTTCAATATAGTGTTAAATGTACACCATCAATTCACTAATTATAATATTAAAGTCTATTGCTGGGACCTGCCCATTTCCCCTCTGCTGTTCACAGCTCTGTGCACGCTATCAGTTATCACAGGAGACTTAAGGAGAACATGGAACGAGAGAGCATGCATAAAAAACATTTATAAAATCCAGACAACTGGAAGGCTATTTATAAGACAAAGAAAGGATATCAGACTTGGCCATAATTTTGAAACTATACTTCAAGAGTACTAAGCTGCACAAACTCCAAGCAGTTACAGCTTTGCAGCTTTCAGGTTCAGTCACAGCAGACTCAACAGCAAGACAAAGTGTTTTACTCTACACTGAATTTCTATTCTGCTGAACTACTCTACTGGCTGTAGAGAAGTGTATCATGGAAACCAAATTCTACTACAAACCATTCCAACTTCCTCATTATAACTCAAAGCAGTCAAAAAAACCTTTTACTCATGATTCGAGGTACTAAGGTTGGTTTACAGAGGTTAAGACTTCCTGTATTTCAAAAAATGCCTAAACACGTCGAAGATAGAACCTCTGTCTCTTACACATTTCTACCATTTCCACAAATCTCATATTCATCTCCCTCCTTGTGCACAACTATTAAACTGTTGCCACCATGGGGCCCAAGACAATAAGCCTGATGCCCTAGTGCAGAAACAGATCACTCAGATCACCATCACTACATTAGCTTTGTCCTGAAGACTTCAAATCTGGTATTAATCATGTTTGCATTCTTTAATTTCTAAAATTTTAACACAATTACAACTAATTATGTACAGAGGCAGACTAGCCCTTTTAAAACAAGACCATGAGAAAGTAAGGCCTGACCTGACAGAAGTTCACCCCTGCTGTCCTTTTGCAGCAGCTCATCAAGTGCACGATGAGGAAGATATCCTAAGATGCAAAGTGAATACACTGCTTTCAGCAGGTCTGTGTTGGAAATCTGAGGGAGGTACTTATTCAAGCAGTTATGAAGAGTCTCAAAAAACCTTTTCCAAAAGCAGAAGAGAAGTATCTAAATACACAAGTGAGGCTATATAAAATACAGATTTCAAACAAAAATACAAGTTAGAAATCTTTATTATCTTGTATAATCATAAGCTGTGTAATCTAACATCAGCATTTGATTATTCTTTGAGGACACAGCTACCTATCAACAGATTTAGTAGCCTGGTCAGTCTAGAACCAACTTTCAATTACAGAGAAAAAATCCTACATAGAAAAAATGTGAAAAGACACAGCAAATTTACCTTACAGATTAATAAAATAGGATTATGAACTCTTTTGCAACTGAAATCAAATACTAGTTGCCATACGATACTCTATAATGACTACATAACGTATTACCAGGCATTGTAAATGGAAACCTACAGATGCTTTTGGTTTCTGGGAATATAGTTGAGTCGTGAATACACTCGGAGAACAATCAAAAGGTTTTTCAAGTTGAGGAATTCAGGATCTTCCATCACCTTCTCAGCAAAAATACCCATCAGCTCACTAGGCTGAAAGCCAAGTGTCTCGAAGGCAGAAAGAAGAAGGATAATCTAAAAGAAAAGATAGTTTTATAAGGTCAAGAAAGCCAATAAAGTGGATTTTACCTGTTGATTTAATAAAAGGCATTTTTAATGAAAGCAAATCATAGAATCATAGAATGGCC